TGAGATTATATTGAGCTTTTGTTCTTCTGCTGTAGCTTGACTTGGAACTTGCACATGAACAGTTCATGATCTATTCCTGTGATGGAATGGAATTATGAAGGCCAAGCTCAGGGAGGTGCCAGTCTCATCCTCTTGTTCCTCCCACGTGGTTCTGACGAGCTAAGAAAATGTTTATCTCCCTGAGCTTGGCCTTCATAATTCCATTCCATCACAATTCCACAGTCATGTTTGGTGTTATCACTAAGCTCTTCCACCTCTTTGTACCAATAATATAGTCAATTTGATTGCTGGGTAGTCCATGTGGTGAAGTCATAGATAGGTAGGTGGGTGGGTGTTTTGGTTGTTTGAAGACTGTTAGCAATGAAGAAATCATTGGATAGGGAGAAACCGATAAGCCACTTTCCTGCTTCATTACTGTTTCCTAAGCCATATAGCTCAATTATATTTTCCTCCTTACTGTTTCCAACTTTGGCATTCCAATCTCCAGTCACAAGCAGTATGTCTTGCTTATACATTCTATCAATTTCTGATTGAACTTGACCATCAAACTTGATAATCTCTTCTTCTGTATTAGAGCATAAATGATCATTTTAAAGGGTTGTCTGTGGAGTGTAATTGATATTATGCAGTTATTGACTACATTGCATCTAAGTACTATTTTTCCTATATCCTTCCTGACTAGGAAAGCAGTGCTGTTTCTTTTTTGTTTTTCATGTTCAGAGTACAGTGGTGAACAATGTGATCTTACTGAACGTGCCCAATACCAGTCCATTTCAGTTAACTTAAAATGTCAGTGTGTAGTTGTTTCATTTAATCTTTCACTGTGTTGAACTTTCCCATGTTCGTGCTTCTTACATTCCATTTCTGTCTTTGCATCTTTGCATTTTCTTTTCCTATGTGGCACCATCAGCAACTAGATGTCCTGAATACCTTTGTCTATCTCTGTCATAAACACCACTGAATATCCTCAGCTCTTCCTCAGTAGCATGTTGAGTGCCATCTGACCTGAGAGGCCAAGGCTCTATATTGTTAGTCACCTATCCAGGCAGATTTTTAGTAAAATACAGGAGTGGTTTACCATTGTCTTCTTCTATACAATGTGAAATGACACTTTTACTGTTGTTACTAAAGTGATCGTCCCATTCCAGCATTTTCCTATATTGCTGCTACCTGATACAGGTGTCTGCTTGCTTTCGCTGGGATGACCTTCATGCCTTGGGTGATCCTGCTGGGTATATATACTCTTGGCATAGCCTTCTGGTATTCTTAATATTTTCTGCATATGAATTTATTGCAGAGGCGCCTATTAGATATGTTTGTGTAGATTTATATTCTAGTGAGGTGTAACTTTTATTGAGATAATACACTGTTGTTTTCCTTATTCCTATTAATTTCATGGGATATGCCTCTTCATTTTCTCCTCCTCCTCCATTTTGTTAGGATGGATTTTCTAGAAGCCTATCCGGACAGATGTTCGGCTGTTGCGCTTGCAGCCAGAGAAGGCAGTATCAAACATCTGAAAAAACTGATCAAACAGGGATACAGCATTGATGTTCCTGATAACAGAGGTTGGATGGCTATTCATGAAGCTGCATTTCAAAACACAAATGAATGTCTAAAGCTTTTAATTCAAGCAGGTAAGGAGAAACATCAGCAATAGTGATATTTATATGCTTTCTGTTTCGGAGTAATGGGAATTTTCAGAGGCTCTAGTTTTTCTCAAGGATTTAGTTTCTTTAGAACAGAGGTTGATAGTCCAGAAGTTACATGAAGCTCCTAACACCTAACTCTTATACCATACTCTCACCAGCTTGAGCTACAGATACTCAAGGAGCAAAATGTCAACATTTGGCATCACAATTTTTGGATTTTTTCCCTATCCAAATAAGAAGCAAAACAGGTACATTGGGATTCCAGCATTGTATAATACATCTAATCCAAACTCCTCCAAAATCTGGCCAAATATTTTCCTCTCCCCCTCTAGTGTCGTCATTGCTACTATGATCCTTGGAGGCTGAAATAATGTGTGGTCTCTATTTTCATGATTGCCTTCCCCTGGTTTTAAAGGAGATCACTGCCACTTATTACAAATATATATAACATGAGGATAAAATTATGATTCACAGTATTAGCTCTCCAACTGACTCCTATTTCCCATCATATATCTAGTTAATGAAAAGTAGATAAATCGTATCTGCCAATTGCCTGTGTATCCCATTGGAAGGCATTATCATACCTCACCATCTCTTGACTCTCTTTGGCCAGGTCTTGAACTATTGTTTATAACATTCCTAGCAAGAGCTATACTTACTGAAATTTTCAAGTGAAGAATCACAGAGTTGAAAGGGTTCCTGTGAGGTCATCTTGGCAACACCCCAATCTTATAACAATGCAATAAGTCAAGGAAGGACAGTTTCTCTGTTCTTCAGTCAACTATCTTTTTTCAGGATAAGAGTTTTAAAAAGCAGAAAAAGTTAACATCTGTCTAGCAAGAAAAGTTTTACAAGTATAGTGTACCCCTGATGTATGTGTGTGTTTGTGTGTGTGTATTGACTTCAAGTCAGTTTTTGACTCCTGGCAACTACCTGGACTAGTCCCTGCAGTTTTCTTGGCAAGGTTTTTTAGAAGTGGTTTGCCATTGTCTCCTTCCTAGAGCTGAGAGAAAGCGACTGGCCCGAGGTCACGTAGCTGGCTTTGTGCCTAAGGTGGGACTAGAACTCACGGTCTCCCAATTTCTAGTCTGGTGCCTTAACTTCTATACCAAACTGGGTCTACCTCTAATGGCAGAGCTGAATAATGGGTATTCTTTCTCTTAAGAGGCAAATTAGCAATGATCCTCTGAATCCTCAAAATTAAGAAAGCAATTAGTGGGGGTAGCAGAATCACTAAATGACTGTGCTGCAAATCAGGAAATCTTGGTTTACATATCATCTCTTGACATAGTTTGCTCTAATTCTGCAGAAGAGAATTAACTTATGGAATTCATTACCATAAGATGTAGTGATGGTTATTAATTTAGATAGCTTTAAAAGGGAATTGGATCAATTCATGAAGGACAGATCTATAAGAGCTATTAGTCTTGAAGATTCGGTGTTACTTCTGAATTGTGCATAGCATGCCTCCGGATATCAGTTGCAGAGGAACAGTGGAAGAAAGAGATGTGTCTCCATCTTCTTGTAGGTACCTTGTAGACATCTGGTTTGTCACTGTGTGACATAGAATCCTGGACAAGATGGGTCCAAGGTGTAGAAACCAAGAGCACTGGAGTATGTGGGAACAAAGAGAATGCAGCAAAGGGAGCACATCAGCCCTAGGCCATCTTGCCACAATGTGATGTTACATGCAAATTGAACCTTTATTATATTAGTAAAATGAGTTCTGTTCTTCTCAGGCTCTTTTAAAAAACCAAGGTGTACAAGCAGATTCATTTTCTTCATGAGAGGATTCTTGACATAATGACTTTTTGCTAAATTTAAATTTAATAAATACTGAATAGGGGTAGGCAAACTTTTGTATCCTGGAAGCCATACTTTATTCCATCTTTGGGGATGCAAAAGTTGTGACTGATGGCATTATGGCACTAGAGTGGGAGGAACAAATTTGGCCTTCATTTTTTTTTTTTTAATTTGAGGAAATATTTACAAGGTATTTCAATGCCCCACACATGACTGAGAAAGAAAGAACTCTGGGAGCCATAAATGGAATGTTAGGGACTATGACTTGTCCACTCTTGATATCAAAGTCCAACATTGCATTATAGTTCAGTACCAGCTGTAAAATCAGTAATTTTAAGATTACATGATATTGCAGAAAAGAAAATAATTAAATAATAATTAATAAAAACAGCTAAAATGCAATCCAACTGCATCCTAAAATGGCACGGTAAGGGAATGCCTTGCAGTAAAGGACCGTCTTTACTTTCTCAAGGGAAAGCAGGCAGGACATAGTCTCTTGGGAGAGAGTTTCACAAAGTAGATACCTACAGACACCAAAAAAATGTTGCTCCTTTTTACAAATTTAGATTAGGCAGTAGAAAGTTGTCTTATACTAGGTCAGAGTGTTTGTCCAAGTGGCTTAGAATTTCCTCCTAGGAGCAACAGCAACTTATAATTCTTTTAGATAAAGATGTGAACTGAAACCTTTTACGTGAGAAACACCTGCTTTGCCAACATATTGTGATCCCATCTATTTATGTATATAGGTAGACTGCAGATAGGGAGGGGTGGGAAATGGCATTTTTGAATGCTTCCCTTAAAAAAAAAAAACTCCAACTCTTTCTTGTGTATTGTCTTCTACTTAGTGGAGAATGTATTTTTTTGTGTGTTCTGCAAGGAAGAGCACTCAAAATATTGACTCTCTGTTGCACCTTAAAGCACTAAAGCCCATTTTAGCATCCTATAATATTTTTCTCTGTTCTTTCTCTGTTTCTATTCTATTTCACATGCTGACAAATAATATTACTGATCCCACTTCAATATATGTAATTTTGGTGGAAAGTTTTGTAAGGTTATTTTCTATGTTATCATTTCCAGCACCCTCTGCTAATTACATAAGATCTAAAACATTTGAGGGTACTTGTCCACTACATCTTTCTGCAAGTAGGGGAAACCTGGAGTGTGCTGCTGTTCTCCTGGAATCTGGTGCAGATCCTAATGAGCTCACTAATGACGCCACCACACCTTTATTTCTAGGTGAGTATACTGTTACCAAACATTTAAGAGTTAGGAGGGTAAATACTCCTCAAATTTAGATGTTCCAAATTTCTTTCTTTTATAACTTATCATCCTCACCTTAATTCTACTAGCTGTGTGCTCTGGCATAAACAAATGCAAATATAAAAATGACAAAAAAAATTCATTATTACTATATATTAATGCAAAGTTTCAGCTAGTCAGAATTCATGGTTCTTGAATATACTGCAATATAGCTATTATTGGATTACTTCCTTTATCAGTTTGCAGGGAATGTTTTTGCTTACAAAGGCAAATCCAACTATAACTTTGGTTATTTTAGAAAAGGCAAAGTCTGGTTTGAGTTGAACTCGGCAAGTACATGGACACATCTGTGCAGTTTTGTTGACAACATTATGGAAGTAGTTTTCCATTTCCCCCTTCAGGATTGTCCAGTGCTCTTCAGTTTAAAGTGTTGGGCAAGAGGTTCACAGCTGCTTCTATTTTAGAAAGGTTTTGCTGTACTTCTGTGGGTAAGATAATTCTGGATAGGTCATATGGCTTTGTATAACTGTTCATTCTTGAAAGTAAACTATATTTGACGCTTGGAACAGTTTTCAAAAGCAAGATTTGTGATTCAGTGCATATACATATGTTTTATGCTATGGTTCATCTTCTAAAAAAAACGAAAGGCTCACACAGGGTAGGAGCATCTGTAGCACTAGGACCATGGTAGAATGATTACGCAAAGTAAATGGCACTGTATATGTGGCCCAAGCTTTTTGGTTCTTTTCCTTGTGTTTTGACGGTTTCTAGCTCTTTTTCCCCCTTATTTTAATGATGATGAGCCTACTTTAGGGCTTAGATAATAATTTTTGGATGTTTCCTGCATGAGGGTGCCAGAACCAGTGCCATTGATTGTTGACAGTTGAAGAGTTCTGGATGCCACATAACATGGAGTGTATTAGACACTGACTTCATCCTTGTTTGAATTGGTACTGTCTCTTTCGGTTGATAAACTAGATGCTTATTTTGCTTTGAATTAAAAACAGGATAGATCATTTTCATCATATTTCAAGTAAGGGCTATTTCTTATTTTCCATACGTTGTTTAATACATCTATTGCCATTTTTCAGAGGGAAACTGCCTCCTTACAAAATCAGTTACCAGTTCCTTGTACAAATGGGCAAAATTCTGTTTTGTTTTTTTTTAGTTAAGTGCTTTGGAAGGGATGAAAAGGTGTCTCATTTAAGCTCTCAGGCCCATATACCAAGGTGTACTCCCACACACTATTGGAAGGGCACGTTTGTGAAACATTTGGAGAATTACTCGTAATTGAACATTAATCACAGGACTAATGGAAATAATGACAGTCTTTAAATGGGGAGGAACCAGTTGCTGAGAATGAGCCGGCAGATGTCAGTGTTATCCAAGGAGCAGCAAAATGCTGAATTTATTTTAAACAGCTTAGACTCAGTGTATTCTCTTATAAATTACAGCACTTGTTTCCAAGATTCAGTGATGCTTTTGCTAAGGAAGAAATTTGCTTGTGCAGAATCCTTTACTGGAAACTCAGAACTGTATAATAGGTCCCTGGATGGGTTGCAAAAATATCAGAATATCAGTAATAAGTAATGGGATAGGGGAATCACAAGGCTAGGGTTGAGAGTGATTATGTGCTGCTGGAAGAATAGAATTTATCCCAGTGAATCTCAGCCTGGTGGCTATCTCTGCATATGTTTGCAGAATGTGTTACATTTTCATTGGTTATCACTGACCTTTTGGCTGAAGAATCAGATTTATTGCAGAGAAGGAGACAAAGCCAAGGGTTTGGAGGCTGCCATGATTGAGAAAAGACTCTTGGTTGGCCGCACCAGTTTCAGAATGTAATAATTCTCCGCTTGTCAATGGGGGACAAGCTGAATTTCTAACCCACAGGCCAGAATTAACCTGCCAGAACTATATTTCTGCATTGTGGAAGATTATTTCTTAAGTAATTAGAGATTTACTGCTGGTTGCAATGATCTATTATAGATTAGAATGTTCTGATAGAAATCTTTTCAATTTATTCCCAATATCCACATTACTAACTGATTAGCATGCTGGCAGGGGAATTCTAGGAGTTGAAGTCCACACATCTTAAAGTTGCCAAGGTTGAGAAACACTGGTATAGTGTAATATTGCTGTACATCAATAGACATAACAACTCTCTTTCATTCTTTACCTTAAAGTTACAGAAACGCAAACACATATCCATTCCCCAATGTAGAAGTCATAGCATTGCTCAGTGTAGATACGGTGCTGGTGTGGCTTATAAAATATGATGGTAGAAAATAATAAATTCCCTAAAGGTTCATTTTATAATATATGTAAGTACTAGTCAGTCTTGAATCAGTACAAAACCCGCCTTGGTTTCAAATTATTTATTAAAAGGAAATTTGATGTTTTGATGTCTTTCTTTTTGTTTCAAATGATAAAAGAACATTGTGTCTGTTTGAAAAGAGAAACCTCTTTTTCAAAGCCCTATTCAAAGCAAGGCATTACAAGAGTGCAGTGAAAATCAGTCTGAAAGCCATAGGCTCTCAATTGAACTAGGATAAAATGACTTTTGGGTACTTCTAGAAATCCTGTCCGACGTCTCTTTACTGTTGTGGCTTTTGTTGTTATTTGGCCTCAGCCATAATAAAATCTGTTTTCAAAGAGTTCCGGCCTTTGCATCTTCTTGTTGTGTGGGGGATGTGGGTTTAGGGCCTGGCTAATAGATCAGTAAGAGAGTCAAGTCTTCATAGAGAATTAAAAGTGGTCAAGGCAAATCCTTGGCTTAATGTGGAATAGAAACTGCCTTGGCAGCACTTGGCAGTGCAATAATCAGATAAGCAAAAAGTTGGAAAAAAATAATATATTCTCAGTTCTTCCTTTGTTTGACTTTTTAAGATCATACAGGTTTCTTTAAAGACACAGTTCTTAACAATGCCTTTTTAACTCTCCCACCCATATATGATAGTAACGAACCTCCACAATTTATAAAAATAATAAAATCCTTGTGCTTCTTCATATTCCATTGATTTCCTAAAGCAATCAGTAAAAATAGTAATTTAGAATCACAATTGCTGTATTTAGTTTGTAAAAATTCTGTTAAATTTATTAACACTTTATTGCTCATATATCAAAAGCAAAATAAAATCAATAGTCCAAGTCTTTCAAACTTATTTTCACTTATGTTTTTGCATTGTTTCATTAATTATCATGGAACAAAAAACAAGTATTTATCATTACTTTTCCAGTGTTCCTCATTCTGTTACGATCTCATCCCTGTTTACAAAATCTATTGAAAAATACTGTCGTATTTCCAGGAATATACTAGTTATGCAGTTTTCCCATGCATATATTGAGAAAGTTAATTGATCCTTTAAAAACACTTACCACCATTGGACCTTGTATCTCCTATCCTCCACTCATCACTTTTTCACTGTAATCTTCCTTGTTGCTATCAATGAAGTATGTTTTTCATAGTATTCATCCTTCTTTTCCTAGAGTTGTGAATTTATGTTCTGTTAGACATATTTCCTATATATGCTGCTTGTGTATGTAGATTTCTCTTGTTTTTTTTCCCCATTGTATATGCCCCCCCCCCAAATCTCAAATCTGATCTGCAGGACCACCCAACTGTCTGGGTAAAATCTGGCACATCAAGGGGAAATGGAATAAAGGGAATCTTGCCAGTTATAAGATTTCTGCTAGCGAACTGAACATTGGGTACAATCCATAGAATCTACTTGATTTTAACTGTATTTCCAATATAGCATTTTCATAATTTTCAAAAATGTTTTCTTTTTGTAGGAGAGAATCTTACAATATAAGCATTCAGGAAATTTTCACTATATCATTTTAGAAAAGTAAATATTCTCTGAATATGTTTTTGGTCAGTTTGCACATTTCATATAACGTATATGCAAGATATTATTTAAATCTTGTTGCTGTCTGTAGGTAAGATCTTGAATTGCTGATGAAGCTGCAGAAAATGACTGCAGAGATGCTGATGTTTCCAAAGCTGCCTTAGCATGAATGAAAAACTGCTGTACAATAATTGCATTTGTTGCCAGGGATGAGATGTATGATGTGCTGTTAGGAAGATAAGCTAATAATATCTCTTTTTAATTTTGTGGTAGCAAAAAGCCTCTGTTAAAATAGGAAACTACAAATGTGCCCAGCCATGTATATTTTTTCTCCCTTCAGAAAATGGTTGCTGCAGCCTTGAGATCAAAGTCTGAGAAGGATGGGGTGATTGTATCATTATATGGAGAACTGGGGCAGGTTTTTGCCACTAAATCTGGATCTAGAGGTCAGGAGCTTATGGCAATTGAGCCAGCATGTTTCTCCTGAGCCTGATTAACCTGTGAAGTTAAGGGCTTCCTGATCTATTGCATTAGCCAACTGAGCAGAGAGCATATTAGGAGGGAGAACAAGAAGGAAGAAAACACAACTTTAGGGGTGGGCCTTAGCAGGGTAGGTTAACTGGGAAGGCTGCAGTGAAGCAAGTTGTTCACTAGTTTAATAGATACTTGCTATGGTCAGATCAATGCCCCAAATCTGTTTATATATTTGTTTTAAACTCCACCTTTCTATTCTATTGAGTACTCAAGGCAACAAAATTAAGAACATTCAGAAACTAAAAAGTTAAACATATACACTTAAAAGTAATCGTAAAATTAGTTAACTGGAAGTCTAAAGAAAAATCCATCTTAAATGGATTTTTAAAATAATGCGTGGGGGGCCAGATCAGCTCTCAAATGGATGCTTTCCATAGTGTGGGAGCAATACAGAAAAAAGCCCTTTTCTATGAACTGCAAAAATGGGCCTCCTGTAATGGGCATATCTTCAGAAGGAGGTCTCCGGCATTTATGAATGGCTAGACAGGTTCATAACAGACACGAACCCTTAAATAGTCAGGCCCTAAACCATTAAGGACTTCAAGGGTTAATACTTGTACCTTAAATTTTACTCAGTAAGCAACTGGCAAAGAGCGCAGATCTTTCAGCAATAGGTATCATGTTATCCCTGCACATAGTATCTTACATTCTTAAAATGGAGTTATCAGTGGCTGTATTGGAATTCATAAATCTTTTATTCAATAGCAAGCATCTCTCAGAAATGAAATTTACTTTATAAAGGGAAGCAGAGTGTTGTGCTTGTATAGCTTGTGTAATATTGCAGGGCTACTTAGAGAATTAATTCTGACTTCATAGTGGATGAGGAATTACATTCTTGTTGATGGTGGTGATTAAGATGAATGTATAATAATAATAGCTTTTAACCCACTCTTTGAAGCTGTTGAAAATGGACATACTAATATGATTAAGCTTCTCCTTCAACATGGAGCCAATCTTAATGGATCCCACTGCTGGTCTGAATGGAATTCTTTGCACCAGGCTGCTTTTCAGGTAATCTATAAATCCATAATTTCATTTCCATATAAATAAAATTTTTACTCTTTTTCTCTTCTTTAAAGAGCAGTTTTGTATAGTCTTTGCAAGCCATTTACTTTTCTGATTTACGACAGTGTAGTGCAGAAAACTCAGTCTAAATGCAAATGATCATCTTGAATATGGCAAGAGCTGAAGAGAGTATGAAACAGTATACATTTTAAATAACAAAAGTATTACACACATTTAAGAAATGATCAGATGTAACATGGGTGATAAATCTGTTATTGAACAGTAATTCACTTGAAATAATTGTCTTATTCCACTTTTGGAATTGCACTGAGACCTTCAAAGAACTGGCATAGGTTTTGGTATTTAAAGGTGAGCACCAGCCTATGGTTCCTTGGATAGACTGTCCAGCTCTTCAGTTCTTTGATGTAGCATCAGACTGTATTCTAACATTCACAATACCTTTATATTCCACAGTTGTAAGTATGATAATAGCAGTTTTTATAATGATTTCTTCAGGTTGTGGCAGGCAAATCTTGTTGAAATCACCTACTTGTATACAGATATTCTTGTACAAGTGGGAAAGGGCTTCTGCTTTCAGAAATCACTGAGCTAAATTCTTCTGAATTCCTTATCTTGATTCAGCCTTTTGGTTCTGATTCTGTGCCATTTTGAATGGAGAAGCTGTTAAGGGATGTGACAGAGGAGTTAGGAAAGCCCCATTGCATAAACAAAAATTTTCAGGAACATCTCTGGATCTAAACCAGTGATAATTCTAAAGAGATTGTTAGATTTTTAGTCAGTCCATATCCATTTAACTCAAATCCTGTTTTGATTTATTCTATTGCTTTGATTTTTTTTTTAGTCGCTGTAGCAAAACTAGCTCATTTCTTCAGTTATCCTGATATTTAGCTTTTATAGGTCTTAAAGGCTAGATGGACAAGTATTCCTAGTTTGGGGTTTTTTTCTCCCAAGGGAACTGCTGTTTTAAAAACCCTTTGTAAATCAGCTTTTCACTTGAGCAGAATTAAATGTTACAAGAAACAAAAGGCTGCATTATAAAATGGCAGTCTTGTAAATCTTTTGTATTATATTTTGCCTGTGTCCCACTGTGTGTGTTCTCAGTTTGTCACTGGCAATATTGTAATGGACTAGCAGGTCAGCTGAACTTAGCTTTGAAGGGACCAAGGAACTGGCTACAAATAATAACCAAAATGGAAAGATTCCAGTTCTACACCCCCATTTAACAACCAATCTTTTTCCCACTTCAGAGTTATCCTGAAATACTGAAATTACTCCTGGATGAAGGAGCCGACAAAGAGTCTGTGGATGATTTTGGGATCACACCTTTATTTATTGCTGCACAATATGGAAAGCTGGAATGTTTAAGAATTCTTATATCATATGGTAACGTCTCAATTTCTGCAAAGCTACAGTCATCAAGTGGATTTCATTGGTAGAAGCTGGGGGTGAATTGTAGCAGGTAGAATTTTCTGTTGGTTCCACTGAACCCCAATTGAGAAACTGGGTTAGACAATAAAGAATTTGAGCTGGGAATAGGCAGTGGTAATAGCCAAAAATCAACGAGCAGTTGGGACAAATGTGAAGTAATTAGGATTATGGGATCTTCCTATCTCTTGAGTCTTCTATCAGAAGTTATGTGCTTAGTCTGAATCTTAATCTTGCTAAATTTTACTGTGTTAAAATAAATGCCTAACTAAACCTGGAAATAGGGATGGTCCTGTCCCTATAACTGTTCTGGGGGGCAGTAAAGACCTGGCTCTTCTGTAGGGCTTTTGGAAATGGAATGGAGTGGTGAACATTGCTCCCAAAGGAAGTGAGGCCACCATGTTTGATGAGCCATGTGCTCGGATACTCTGTGCTCGGATAGAAATTGGTACTGTTGCTGATTTGTAGAAAGTCCTATAAGATTCAGCAACCTTATAGTACTTCCAGTACTAGTTCCTATCTAAGCATAGAGTATAAAAATAAGTTTCAGTGGACCATTGAAAGGGAGGAGCATTTGCACTGGTCAGCCTTTATCAATGTATTAAAATTCCCTTATCAGGAGCCAACGTCAATTGTCAAGCAAAAGATCAGGCCACACCCCTGTTTATTGCAGCCCAGGAGGGCAATGACAAATGTGTGGAGCTGTTACTAGCCGAAGGAGCCAATCCAAACCTATACTGCAATGAAGAGGAATGGCAGTTGCCCATCCATGCAGCAGCACAAATGGGACACAGCAAGTAGGTGATGTGCAGAAAGTTGCTCCTAGTTTCTGTTAAGCCTTGAGTTCCATCAAGGAAGAAAGGCCAGGCGTAAATGATGAAATAAAATTAAAATAAAGTATTTTGAACTGTGGAAACATGCCTTTCCTATTTATGAATGAATATTAATTAATTAATTAATTAATTAATTAATTAATTAAACCAATTTATATAGCCGCCCATCTCATCACAGGGAACTCTGGGAAGCCTACAATAAAGCTAAAAACAGTCCATAAATACATTAAAAATATCTATAAAAAATAAAACAGAGAATAAAAGGATGTTAAAAATATGGGAGCCACCTCACTAATTCCCCCGTCCCCTGGGGTTCCCAAGCCTGCTGGCAAATGAATATTGTATATTTTCTAAGCAATATTAGAAGTTATTTAATCTTTCAGAATTTTTACAGTTGATAAATCAGTTTTCTATCTGCTCTGATTTTGACTGGTAGTAAAGCCAATTTTATGTAATATATTTTTCTTAATTTGATATCTTGGGTTTTTTACTATCTTCATTGCTTTTTATATATTTATGATTTTAAATCTCTTGATAAGTAGCTGAGGTGAGATGTATTCTGATGTAATATGTGGGATAAAAGTAATAAATGTGTCTTAGTTTGATGTTTCTGTGGAATTAGTCAGGGTATCAAGATTGCCCTGGATTCCTGAATGACAGGATTTGTTCTTGAGTTTTTATGTGTATTAGGAGAATTCTGGAAAATAGAAAAGTTTGGATTGAAAATTTTAAATCCTAAAGCTCATGCTTTTAATCAGAATGAAAAGAACAAACCAGCAGTTCATTGTGAAGCATTCACACATGAACAGGAGGAAAAGCAGGGCAAAGGAAAAGTTATCCTTTTGGAGTAAACAGTAAGAACATGATTACTTCCCTCCCAAAGCAGATCTCCTCTTCCTCTTGTTCTCCTTGCACATTCCCTGAATTTTCCTTCAATACCTGGGAAATTGCCTGGAGCAGATTTCGAAGACAAATGGGGAACAAGTGGAAACCCTGTTGTATGAACGGGAGTCCTCTTTTTCCTTTAGGGTATTTGATGTACCCTCATGCTTTGTGGACCAAATAGAAAAGGTACATACAGTAAATTTAGAATAAAAACATCCCCAGTAAGGAAAAAACAAATATATTAAACATCCCAGTAAGAAAAAACAATTACATAAAACATCCCAGTAAGAAAAAAGAAAAAAAACAATTAAAAAGCATTGTTTCATAACACCAGAATCCCAAAACAACTAAAAAACCCAAAACTAACAGTAACAATAAAAAATGAAAAACATAATATATAAGATAATAATGATGACTAAGGATCACATCCCATACGCTCTCTGGCATTCAGCCTTTGCTAGCTTCTGGAAAGCTATTACTAAATGGGCCAGGCTAACATCTAGAGTAGTGTTTCTTAGCCTTGGCAACTTTAAGACGCGTGGACTTCAAGTCACAGAATTCCCCAGCTGGCTGGGGAATTCTGGGAGTTGAAGTCCACATATCTTAAAGTTGCCAAGGTTGAGAAACACTGATCTAGAGGGAACCTGTTCCAAAGAATAATAGTTGGAAAGCAATGCTTTCTAGCCTCAGCCTCCCTCGCCTCCTGAAAGTGGGGCACTACCAGCAACATCTACTGGGAGGACCTCCCCCTCCTTATAATTTGAAATATCTGTCCCAGCTTCACTATGATCTATGACCTAATTCTATTGGGTTCCTCCTCACAGAGATTCTATTTAATACATAACAGACGGAACCTCCAAAGGCAAGATTTCCTTTCTGCTAAGCTATGTATGGATTACCTCTAAATTCCAAGGCAGTGCAGGAACTGAGTCTTTTGGATGGAGGGGATTTAAAAGCTGTCTCTTCTGCTTACAGCTTTTCACAAAAATTTCTGGCTTCAAATCAAACTGTTGGCTGCATATCTCTGGAATGCTCTTTGAATGAATAGACCAAGCCATGGAACTTGGGTAGATTAGAAGAGGGCTATTGGAAATAGAAAATAGATTTAAAAATAAGTTAAATCTTGGTCACCAAGTATTAAATTTTAGACGTATCTTTATAATAGCTTTAAACATCATTGAGATTCCTTTCCTGTAAGCTTGTTACAAAAAAAGCTGCTCAATGCTGTTTAAATTTTAAAAAGGTAAAGAAGCATCATGTATAGAGCCTAATTACCTCAGCCTCTCCCTTTGTTGGAAAAAGAAAATGTCTGGTCCTTTTAAATCTAGGGGCAGAATTCCAAAAGCTGGGAACTGAGGCTGGGAAAACCAGGGACTAACATTCCAGTCCAAGTAACTGAAGCATAGGGAACATCTGTTTAAACAGGTGAATTGTCTAACATTGCACTGGCTTTTGATTTATGTTTCTTTGTGGTGCTAAAGTCTAATGTTATTTTTCTGACAAATTAGAAATTGAGTATATAACCTCAGTCTTTACTCTATCAGGTTGCATATGAAGATACCAAATCTTCTCTGGAACGTTCATATAATGTTTAGTATTAATTTGAAATACCTAACTAGTCTTCTTTTTTTCCTCTGGAACAAAGAATGAGGAATGTGTAGCAGCATCTTGTCTGTCTGGAACATTGCATTTTCCTTTATATTTTTCCTTTCAGGCAGCTGTTTTATTGCAATCTGAACAGTTCTGTCATTTATCTAATGTTCATTATTTGGAGTTTAATATTTAAAATTTAAAAAACGGGAGCTACATTTTATCTTTTTTTATCCTTTTAAATAAAATTTGGTTTTGTTTTTCTCTGGTGAGATTGGTCTATCTCCCAAGGAAGAGAGGAAGGGCTGGATCATCCAGCTCCATGCCTCTATGCTAGATGGCCAGGAGGTTGCAATATTGCAATTATTTTGCTTGTTTGATTTTTTTTAACCTTTTAATTGCCCAAAAGGCAATACTGGATTGGGAGTCCTATCTCTCTCACATAGTAGGGTTACATGAAGGACCTGAGATAAAATGCCTCTTAGGAGGTAGGTGGTGGCAGTGGCAACTACCAAGGTGCCATTCCAAAGGAAGAGGTGGGGCCAGAGAGCTTCTGGAAGAGGAGGTTTGAGGCCTTCAGCTTTTTACCTTATGGGCTCAGCTATCCACTAGAGAAGCCCCTGAACCAAGCTCAACTGCTACTAACAGCCTGAATGCCATTATGTAATTTTCTTGGCAGCAATATGGAAGTGACTTGCCGCTGCCTTCTCTAGGATGTTTTTAACCAATATGTCTTGTCTGCAGCCCTGGAATTTCTTAAAGGTTTCCCATCCATTAGGCTGAACCCTGCTTAGTTTCAGAGTCCAGATAAGGTCAGCCAGTTACCATTTGCTGAGATTTCAATCTTATACACAGCATATTAAAAGGCAGCAAATAATGGTGTTTGTTTTAAGGTCAGGAAAGTACTGTTTTTATCTGTAAGGTACATAACAAAGGTTTTTGTGCTTGCACAATAACATCCATTTTGCATTTCTGCAGTATATTACGCACGCTCATACTGGTTACTGACCGGGTTTGTGGTAGTGCTGAAGGCAAAGTGAGTCCTGTCTACTCTGCGATCTACAGTGGTCAAGAAGATTGCTTGGAGCTCTTGCTTAAGGAAGGTTACAGTCCGGATGCCCAGGCTTGTCCTACCTTTGGCTGCAGATCACCCATGTCTCTTGCTTTTCAAAAAGGGTATGTGTGTTGTTTGCAGTTATCATGGGACAAGGATGTTATGGGAACTAGCAAAAGAGGCTAATATTATAGGAGCAGCAACTGCTCTGTATTCAAAGTTTTTCAAACATTCTACTTTCAGGTAATATTTCAACTTCAGTATGCCTGTTGAAGTAGATTCCTGGAAATGCCTTACAATAGTGGTTCTCAAACATTTTGGTCTCAGGACCCCTTTACATGCTTAAAAATGGTTGAGGACCCCAAAGAACTTTGGTTTATGCGGATTATATCTATTGATATTTACTGTATTAGAAATCAAAACTGAGAAATTTTAAAATATTTATTTGACTTTGTGGACACCCTGAAAGGGGCTTGGGACCCCCAGGGCTCCCCAGACCACACTTTGAGAACTGCTGCCTTAGAACATGCAGGTTCACATTTCAGGAGAAATCAGTCAATATGGGAAGGTGAAATGTCTTTGGGGAACCTTTTCTGCTGTTACTGATCTTTTTTAGAAGTGTTGTTAAGCTTCTAGGAATCTTGTCATTCTCCAGACCATGATTCAAATGTTATTGTAGCTCTGTGGAAGGATCACACTACACATGATATGGGAAACTTCTTGTCAGAACTCTCAGATGCTTTTATTTTCACCTAAATGAAATGGTAGTGGATTAGGGCCACCAAGCTGAGAGATTTGTTGTTTTATAAAAACCAGTGCTTCCTAATGCGCCACGTATCCTACTCCCACAAGCAGTTTGGAAGAGATCATAATAAAGAGCTCTGGGATCCACTGCCAGTCAAATGAATTGATGCACAAGTGAGCTGTTCTGGGTAATAAGACAGCTTCCTATATTCAGATCACTTTTCCTTTTCCCTACTTTAGGAAAAAGTAGGAATGAATAGATGGCTTGATTTTCATTCTGTGTCATTATCACATATTAATGATTTATAAAGCCCTACATTTTCACAAAAGCTGCATTTTTCTCAAATGTATATTTTACTCTGAAATTCACATTTTAAACTTAAAACATATTTTATGTAATGTTTACTATTTGTTTGAGTGGAGGATTATATTTAAAAAAATAGAAAGAAGTTGGATATGGGTGGCTGCATTCCAGTTCATATATTAGTTCAGGAGATATGACCAAAAAGCTAAAATATTGCAGATTCCACATCTGCTTCTGTAGTTCCTATTAAGTAATAGCAAAGTGCAACACAGATTTTCTGCATAACTTGCTGTTTTGCCTGGTGAAAGAAAGCAAACGGGCAGTTGGAGAAAGGAAGAAGAAAGCAAAATATTTTAGATCAGAAAGGGCTGGTTTCTGATAGGAATGTTTTAATAAAGATTTAGGTTAGAAGTTATTTCAGTGATGTAAAGCATTCAACAAATATATATGTATTGCAGAAAAACATCAATTTTTAAAAATGCAGTATTTCTTTCTATTAATTAGTAACATCATAAACAAGCACAAGACTAGAAGAAGTAGTCAAATCTAAAACTTTCCTTGGTGACTCTTCCTGAAATGCACATATATTTATGCTCTTGGCTATCTTATGTGTTGATATGATCATATTAACTTATTTCATTTCTTTCATTTTTATTAATATCTGAATAATGTAACAAAAGTATATATTATTGACTTGTCATGTTTTAAAATATTCACACATATTTCAGTAAAAATAAATTTCAAAGCCATGTCTTGAATTTATTGGAGTAGAACATTTGCAACACGCTAGAAGTCCAAATTAGAAATTTCTGTTCAACTTACTATTAATTATTGGAAAAGTTTTGAGAGTTACTTATATGTTAGACATATTTTGTTCACTGAATGTTAAATAGGCTTTTAAGTTGATTTAGAATAGTGAAAAAATTCCAGGAAAATAAATTGAGTTCATCTCTTTTTGGAAAATTAATATAATTGCTTTACTCTCTACTGCTAATAATTGACCCTTGAACTAATGGTTATAAAGCAAATGTTATGTAAAATTAAGTTTTTGATTTTCAGTACTGCTGTTACCACTAAATCACACTTCCACAGTTACCTAGGAATAAGCCTAGCTAGGCTTAGTTGGATTTATTTCTAAGCATCCAGGAATCCCAGTTCTAGGTAATCTCTAGGCGCATAACATTCTTGTAAATAATCATGAGGGGGTATTCTTCCCTTTGAGCAGAAGTTTCTCTTTCTCTTACACATTCAGTGCAATTTTTTTTTAAAGTTGTGTCTCATGAGCACTGGATGTGACTTTTGAACTTGAGTGAAAGTTCTTTTTTTACAATTTCTTTTTGCTCAAATGGCTGTTCTTATATTCTCTTAATCTGCCTATTTTTTTTAAATAAAAAATGCATGGAATTAATATGGTAATATGCATTCTTCTGGGACATCCTTTGTCCTTAATTTACAGAGGAATAGTTGAAACATTTGTTGATATATGCATCAAATTGTCCGTATTCCACTTTGAAATAAGAGAGCCATTTTGAAATATGTTAGAATAGATATTGCTAATTCAGTATTTATTTTTTCTGTATGTACTGTCTTTTGCTGAAACTCTTCAGTGATAAGATGATTTGACAATTTACCAATGATAATTTGTCAAAAATGAGGCAGTGGGAAGACAAAACTGAGAATATTCAAGTCCTAACTCTGTCATACTATATAATACTGTAATGTATAATGTAAAATAAGGTATATGATTATAATGTATGATAACCACTGAGCTAGTCATTGTGAATTGGTCAGTGCAGAAGAAAGTGCTGCAAACTGAAGAACAAGCAGACAACTATTTTTCATACTTATAACTCACCCTGTGCATTGAAGTATAGGTAGTCCTCAACTGACGACCATAATTAGGACTGGACTTCCATCACTAAGTGATGCGGTCATTCAGTGAATTGCGTCCAATTTTACGACCTTTTTTGGCTGTGGTTGTTAAGTGAATCACCACAGTCATTAAGGTTGCAAATGGTGATCACATGACCCTGGGATGCTGCAATGGTCATAAATACATGCCAATTGCCTAGTGCCCGAATTTTGATCATGTGACTGTGGGGGATACTGCAACAGTCATAAGTGGGAGGACTGCTCATAAGTCACTTTTTCAGTGCCGTCATAACTTCGAACAGTCATTAAACGAATGGTTGTAAGTTGAGGACTACCTGTATAACATTTTTTTAAAAAACTTATTTCTAATGCTCAGAGATGAAAGCTGTTGCTTATGTAAGCAAAGCAGCATTATCTGCACATAAGAGGAAGATATTGGCAGATTCATGGAAATCCCAGAGTTTGCAGAAACATTGGAAAAAACCTAATTGTTGTAAAAGGATGTGGAGTAGAATGGAGTGTTCTGAGCAGGAGTTCTTCAGACTGCATTTGTGCATTTCCCAGTTGTAGTAATAGCAATGTTAGTTGAAGGTTCAAGATGTGATTAATGCAGTTTCTCCCTCCCTCCCTCTCATATATACATAAGCACATACTTTATAGATAAATTTAGAAAATACTGTATGAATCCACCAAGGGACTTGATAAGCCAGCTTTGTCCATACTGCTGACCTCCAGGTACAGGAGACAATTGTCTCCTGCCCTGTTCAACCTGCACAGTCTAGCACACCAAGGGGACTCCGTGGCTTTCAAAGTAATACAGAGCTTTTTAGAGGGTTCTGTGTTGGGAAGATTGGTACAGATAGAAACTTGCCCCTCAGACCATGTTTGGTCACCTCCATGGATCTTTCTCTGAAATATACTGCTGGACTGTCATTTGTATTCAAAGAGGCTCACTAAGTTCATGGACAGCGTAGAGAGGTCCAACCATTGGCCTAGTGCTATTTAATAAGTAGGGATTAATCAGCTAGCTAGCTAACTAACTAGTAACTTGATGGTTAATTTCCAGAAGATTTGTTTTGAATAAATACTGTGTTAACATGTATATGTCTTGTGCATTTCTTGCAGATCTGGATTGATTCTCATTCTTCTGAGGTATGGAATCAAAGTTCTTGAAATGGATTTAGGCCTCTGCCTGCAACATGAAAGATTCTCTCTATTTCGGCATTTCTTGAGGCAGGATTGCAAGCTCCCAAGTCAGCAGCACCTGGCAGAATTTTCAGAGTATGCAGTCAATGCAGGACACAAGTACAGAGAGTGGCTGCCATCACTCCTGCTGGCTGGGTTTAATCCTGAAAATCTTCTCTGTGACAAATGGTAAGCAAGATAATCTAGGAGTATGAAGTATACTGTATGATTGCATATGCATAGTGGTGTGCTGCTAAATGTTTACGAACCAGCTCTGCTGGCTCAACTGCTGCCACTGCTAGCCAGGGAACAGCTGATTAGGGTGCTCAGTGTCGAGGCTCACCTCTGCTGAGAACCAGCTTGCAAAATTCAGAAAATGTATCACTTGGCTTAGCAAGCCAGCTCCGGCATACCGCAATGTATATATAGTATGTATACATGTGTCTCTTGGTATACATATAGAAATACAAACATGTCTGTGCATGCATGCATCCATGCATTTGTATCTCACAGCTTTTGTTATTCAGTATGATTGTGTGGAAGGGCTGTCTTGTATAAATGGATAGTCCAGGTAGAATTTCAGACTTCGGAGATTTTTCCCCCTAAAATAGGAATTTGCCAATCAGAGTGTATTACAAAAAGAAATTTACTTAGAATTATGGAATGTTGAGGCCTTAAATAAGAGTTGATACCAGAACTGAATTGACTGCCAAGTCCTTCATAAAGTTAGAATCCATTCCTGGCAAGCACCAGACTTGTTTTATACATTCATATAACAAAGACTAACAGATGTGTCATTTTGTTATTCCTATGGTTAAAAGTTGTTGGCCAGAAATACATAATCTCTTGCAGATCAGTAAATTCAGATAATACCTTTTGCCCACTTCTGCCTCATGTACTATTGTATCATCCGCCTCACTTTGTATAGAATGTTGAACATCTTTGGCCATACATGTATGAGGCTCCTGCAACAGGGACCTACAGATCTCCTCAGTTTGAGTTTGTGTGTCTGTGAAGGAAGTTTTACAGGTGTATGTTTATATGTGTGTAGGAGTCACTTCAGACTGATACCTATTATTATGGGATATTGTGAACACATGTTCAGGGCCTTGTTCAATATCTAGCAGAGTAGGAGTGGGCTACTTAAGCATGAAAACTTTTTCATATGTTTGTTCAGCATGTCTGAAGCAGACTACTATTACTGTATTTCATTTATTAATGGTTATGATGTACAATATTGCTTAATATGCCATTGTGAGTGTCTTGAATTGGGCTGGAAAAGCAATTGAACAGTTGGTTGACATATCAAGACTTATTAATACAGGAAGATGGACAGCTTAAGATGAAGTCAAGAGAACAATTAACTACAGAGGAATTTAGTTTTCAATGGTTTTTAAATGCACAATTAAGAGAGAAATTTAATATAGATAAGTTAACTGGAATAGAACAGCATAAGACGGAGTTTGAAATTGAATTATGTACAAATGATGGACATGTGATTGCTTAAAATGTACAAACTTTTGTTGAGATTTGAAATGGAAGAACAAGTTAATGCATGATAAAATGGGCTAAGAATTTTGGTTATAATATACAGATGGACCAGTGGGAGAGAATGTGGTTCAAAGGATTGAAATTCATATGTGTTATAATTTAAGATAGAACATCTATACAATGATGTACCACTGGTATATGCCACCAGAGCAATTATCTAAGATGTATAAAGGCACTTCTAATCAATACTGGAAATGTGAAAAGCACGAAGGGACATTTTATCATGCATGGTGGACTTGTGAAAAAGCAAAAAAAAAAATGGATACAAATACACAATGATACAGAGAATTTTAAAAATTAATATTCAGATGAAACCAGAATTTTTTTTATTGCGATTTATGAACAGCCAATTAGAAAAGACTTGTGGAAGACTGGTTTTGTATATGCTAACTGCAGTGAGGCTATTATATGCACAAAGATGAAAAAATACTGAAATACCCACAATAGAGGAATGGATCATGAAGATGGTGGAATTTGCAGAAATGGCAAAATTGATCTGTTTGATCAAGGATAAAACAACAAGTACTTTTATAAAAGACTTGAAAACCCTTTATGGACTTATTGCTGAAAATAGAAAAAAATGAGTTGGTGATTTTGGGATTTACTAATTAAAAAGGGTTAAATGTGGAGAAGGGAATTATGTAATGTAATCTTAAAGAGGGAAGAGAGACAATAAATTTGTTTGTAACTGCTGTAAACATCGGAAGTCGCTTCTTTAAATATATTTTTCTTTTTCTGTTATCTATACCTATTCTTTTTTCTTTCTTCTTTTTCTTAACTTCATATATTTTTTCATGTTTATCTTTTATCTTTGTAAAAATCTTTAATAAAAATTTTAAAAAAAGGAAATGTGAAAAACATGAAGGGACATTTTACCATGCATGGTGGGCTTGTGAAAAAGCAAAACAATTTTGGAAACAAATGCATATGATGATACAAAGAATTTTGAAGATTAATATTGAGATGAAATCAGAATTCTTTTTATTGGGACTTATGGATAGTCAATTAGAAAAGACTTATGGAAGGTTGATTTTATATATTGGAACTGCATCAAGATTATTATATGCACAAAGATGGAGAAATACTGACATACCCACAATGGAGGAATGGATTGTGAGGATGGCAGAACTAGCAGACGTGGCAAAACTGACCTATTTGGTCAGGGATAAGACTATAAGTACTTTTATAAAAAACTGGAAACCTTTTATGGATTTTTTGCTGAAAATGGAAAAAAGTGAAATGATGATTTTTGTATTTGATGATTGAAAAAGATTGAATAATGGGCTGAAGGATTATTGTAATGTTAAGGGAGGAGTAGGGATAATGAGTTTGTAACTGCTGTAAAGGAGAGCAGAAGTTGCTTTTTTAACTGTCTTTCTTTTTCTTTAACTGTATTTTCTGTACCTTTTCTTCTTTCTCATCCTCCTCTTTCTTTTCTTTATGTATTTCTGTATTTGTCTTTTAACTGTGAAAAAACTTTTAATAAAATTAATAATAAAAAAGGAAGGCAAATGGACAGCTGAATCTTACTACTGTATATAAACGGAGAAAACCATCTGTGTGCTCTTCTGCATTTATTGGCTTGTCTGCCATCAGTCATGTATGTAAGATAGGTGCTATATAAATTTACCAAATAAATAAACAAGCACCTTTGCCTCTGAGTTGAATCTGTGGCATAGCTTGGCATATCCTTCAAATGCCCTGAAAATAACATTGTTTTTTCTCTTCTCTTGGTTCAAATCCTATCCAAGTCTGTCCCTTCTTTCCAGGATTCTGCAGCCTGATTCTGCTAGTACTTAGAATTCAGTGCCTAAGTTAAGATTTAGAATTGCAGAATGGAAACTGTATGACCTAAGTAAATAATTATGGTTAAAGGTATTGGAAGTAAACTTGCAAATTGCATGTTTTCCCCAGTAGAATATGCCAGGTTGACAGAGAGTTAATTCAGTGAACCAGCTTCAGCTTTCAATTATCAGGCTCTGATAATCAGGGTTTCCATTAATATGATGCTGATGTAACACTACACCACAGTTAATGCTGCGAAAGGGGAGGTTTTGCACTACAGAGAAAAGAAATATGTGAGTTAGGCAAATGGCATTTGTAGAATCTTAACGATAATTATGAAATTAAAGAAAATTATTTCTGCCTCAGGCCTAATGAACAGCAAGCTCAGGATAGCATTCAACCATGATTACTATGTTAAACTGAGCCATGATTAAGTGTCCTAATGGGAGTTGTGAAGTGTTGTAAGGGGCTTTAGGGAAGAAGCATGTGGTCTTGCTACTCAACCCCCTAACGGTGCATCTTTCCAGCCCCAAGATCATTGAATAGGAGGAAGTTTGGAACAAAAGTAAATTAATGGCAGACAATGAGGTTGGAAGTGAATGATCAATGGAAAATGCTTACAGGAAGACCATTGTGCTGGTCATTCACAATACTGCATTCTGTGAGGAATTCAAACTGTGTTGATTTCTCAGTGAAAGCAGGTCTGACTCTTTCAAGTGAAAAGGGAAATTGCACTGTGCTGTATTTCTAAAGCTTTGAACAAATATAAAAAATGAAGCATATGCACTCTCCTTCCCATGTAGAAAGGACAAAATATCTTCTCTTTACTTTCAAAGGGCAGAAGTCATCTTGTTGCAGAATACATTAGATATACAGCCATTTTAAACTAATAAAAAGAGTCTTGTGTTCTGAAGCCAAATATCATCAAAGGTCACAAGAAATGCATCCTGGGTGTGATTCTTAACTGCTTTGATCCTTTATGGATACTGTCTTCAAGGCATATGTGAGAGAGAGGAAATAAATAATTTAATTACAGTAGTTGAACAAAGGCTTTCTGAATAATTTACTATGTCTGTATGTGGGGTGTGCGTGTGTGTGTGTACATACATACATACACTAAACAGCACAACAAAGCATACACTGAATAGCACTATCAAGTATCTGGCATTGTGTATAGGAACATCTGCACAGTGTATGGGTTAGACGTTCCCAAGTCCAGATGGGAAATTCTACAGAAAGTCATGGAGAATAACGGGGGACTTCCTGTGGGACTTCCAGATTCAGATGGACAGGCAGGTACTGGCCAATCAACCCGACATTTTGGTAGTAGACAAGGACCAGAAGACAGCAGTGGGAATAGATGTTGCGGGGCCAAGTAACAGGAGGAAGGAGTATGAGAAACTGGAGAAGTACCAGAGCCTGAAGGAGGAACTAGAGAGGATGTGGAAAGGAAAGGCCAAAGTGGTCCCAGGAGTGGTAGGAGCACTTGGGCCTGTGACTCCTAAGCTGGGAGAGTGGCTCCAACAGATCCCAGGAACATCAGAGCTCTCTGTCCAGAAGACTGCAGTGCTAGTAAAAGCTAAGCTACTGCACAGAACCCTCAAGCTCTCAGGCCTCTGGTAGAGGACTCAAGATTGAGGAAGACACATACCACCCATAGGGGTGGGAAGGGATTATTATTATATATAATAAGTTCACCAAGCTGAGAAGAGTCTAAATAAATGTTCCAAAATATCCCGCAGTCACATGATTGCTATTTGTGACCTTCCCAGCCAGCTCTGACAAGCAAAGTCAATGGGGAAGTTATTATGTGATGTTTCACGTGACCACTTGGCTTAGTGACAGAGTTGCCAGTCCCAATTAGGGTTGTTAAACAAAGACTACCTGTATCAACAAAAACTAACAGGTGGCTAAAATATTGTAATATTGGCACTAAGCATATGTTTCTAAGCCCAAGATAGGCCCACCAAAGAAAAGGCAGCTCTCAGGTAGCTGCTCCTACATTGTCTGAGTAACAATCTGAGTGACAAAATTACTCAGAGAAGGTTCTTTAAAAATTCTCAGTTGGGAGAAGGATATCAGTCAAAAATGTATCTGGGTTCAAGAGGAGGTTTCAAATAAGTTCATTTAGGTTATTTGTGAGTTTCACATCTTTGGAAATGTTGGATCTTTTGGGCTAAAACACTTTTCTAAAGTACTGCATAAATCATAAATCACAATTCTTCCCCAGTGGTTTCTACAAAGTTCCAAAATTAAATAAAAGCTCATTAAAATAATTACAATGGTTGAAAAACTGCAGTTGAATATTCTTACCAGAAATCTTGCAAGATCTATTGAAATAAGAATGCCAAAATCTCATGCAGTTTAGCACTCTTGTGTGATTTTGTCTATTGTTATTTTTGAGCAGTGTACTACAGACCACATGTAAGTACTTCTATGAACTACTAGTTGAACTATTGCTTTAATCACTACTTCTTACCATTTTCAAGGTATAATAATGTGGATCAGGACCTGTTGCGAAAATCTGCTTTTTGTCCCCATAATAAGCTAATAAAGTTTTTATCCCCATGTATATCTCCAATCTTAAGGGTAAAATACTATATTAGCTAGGATTTCTCTTAGCTTCCCATAACAATCCTCAAGCTCATTTGTACCTTTTTCTTTTAGAATGTCACCAAAGACATATGTATGAGTTTTTGCTTCTATTCCACATTTACAATAAACAGGCAAATTGTGATCAGTATTAGCAAGTTGAAGCAAGTTAGTTTCAAATTATGGCTTATGAACTATCATTGTTAATTAATCACAAGCAAAAATTGAGATTAACCACAGTGTAGAATTCAGGTGACACACAACAGTGGCTACACTAAAATTAAAGGTGAAAAAGGGAGACAAGAGCAGGTGAGTCAGAGATTTGTTTTCATAAAGTTTGAACCATGGTGTGCCATGTGTGCTGCATTTTCATTGATAAAAAGGTCAAAAGCAAAAAGTGAAACAATTTTCTATAGTGTTGCATCCTGGCTATGTAGCATTTACTGTAGGTTTGTGGTTAGAGGTTCATCCTTTCTTCTTCCCACCCTGTTTTGGGAGATAGATGATCTCACGAGATAATATATATATTATATACATAAACAGTAGTTTACTGATAAACAGTAAAAAGCTTTTTTAAACTTTAAATATCCAGAATGCAGACATTCCGTAGTGAAGATCTATTACAGAGATATTCAGATTACAGTAGAACGGCATTAGATTCATTTTAATCTAATGACTAGAATGCTAGTAGTAGGACTGGCTTATATGAATTCCATTAAGATATGTGTCATATATTTGATATAAGCATATTCCCCCAATTAAATAAAGTTTTGAATTTTAGGAATGCATCACTCTAAAAAATTTATTACTGTTCACCTTTATATTTCTCTTATGAGCTGAGGATATTATAGGTTTATCTGAAAGACAGTAATTGGCCTCAAATCACCTAGTAGGCTTCATGGCTGATTAGGGAATTTGAAGTCTTGAACTCCTTCTCCAGAAGCCAACACCGTTCACTATGATACATTACTTCTTACAGTAATTTATTTTTGTTCACGTCTAGGATTTATTCTGTAAGCAATGATGCTCTGAACTTCCTTCTGGAGTTCACTAATTGGAAGAGGCTTCCTTGGAATGTGGAGCAGATTCTTTCCAGCCGCAAAGGGACTTCCATGTGGGTGCCTTGTAGTCACTTTGGTAAGCAAAGAACCAGCCAGCTTATTTCTGTATGGTCTGTTTGTTATCAGGGCCTAAATGACAAATAGTTTGTTGGTCGATTATACAAGGGACCAGAGTCTTGTTATACATGCTCAGATAGCATAATGTTGATTTTAATATATGCAAATCAAGTATTTTATTTTATTTATTTTATTTTATTTAGAACAATCTTTACGATAGTGATCCTGTCCTGTTATAGGAGCCCCTTTTCTTTAAACTATGGGTAGCAACCTGCTGCCCACAACCTCGTGGTGCATCTCATTTTGTGGTCCTTTGACCCCTATTAACTAGAAAAATAGTGCTGTGGTTTCCCACTATTTCAAGGTAGGAAACATATGAAAATTATGGTGTATGCTTTAAAAAAACTGTGTTATATATAATGTGGCCCTGCCTACTGTATATGATGCTGTATTCCCAGATGTTAATGTGTGATTCTTGATTACCAAAAACTTCCGAATGTTTTGTATTTTGTTTCAGTGGCAAGGCAAGAAGTTATTTCCCTTATGGACTTTCAGCTTTATTTTTTCATGGTGTAATAGAATAGTAACTATGAATAAGAAGTTAATTTTCATTGAAGGACTTTAATGTGGGATAAGGGTTGTATTAACAATATATATCTCACATGAGTACAGTTATAGAAGATTTACAGGGGTCCCTTCCCTTGTAGTGATGTTTCCTTTTTAAAAGGATTGACTATGCACTGTCAGGATGATGTCATTTCTTAACAACCACATAGCTGGATCTTCTCCAGGATGATCTGTCCCCAACTTAGTCCTTCAGGCCTCCAATGCTGCTGTAATCAAGTCCATCTATCTTACTGCTTTTTATCCTTTTCTCTTTCCTTCCACCTTTTCCAGCATTATGGACTTCTCAAGGAAGCTGGGTCATTGCATAATGTGTCCAAAATATGATAATCAAACCAGAGTTTTCACTTGGGGAACAAAATTATCAGGTTCATGATAATTTTGTTCCCCAAGTGAAAACTCTGGTTTGATTTGTTCTCTGATCCATTTGTTATCTTAGATATCCATGATATTCTCAGGCGTCTTCTCCAACACAAACATTCAAAAGTGTCAAAACTCTTTTTATCCTCCTTCTTCAAAGTCCAACTTTTGTATCCACAGAGGTCACAGGGAAAACTATTGCCTGCACGATTCTGATCTTTGTAGGTAAAGACATGTCAGCCTCTGAAAATCTTTTTCAAAGCCTTCACTGCTACTGTACCAAGTGCTAGTCTATGGTGTATTTCTTTCTCCTGGTTCCTTAGCTGTTGATAACCAATTCTAAAAGAAGGAGCTATTCACCTCTAGAATGTTTTCACTGTCCCATTTTTTCACTGTGCCCCTTGACTTTCATTATTAGAGCTTCCAGATCCTTTGTATTTATTAGTGTCATCAGCATAGTTCAAGCTATTGATATTTCTTCCTCTAGTTTCAAAACCATGCTTATCTACCAATCCAGGCTCTCTCAGATATATTCAGCATGTACCCAAATAAATAAGGAAAGAGTATACAATCTTATTTCATTTTTTTATGACCTGGAAACATCTGTTTCACCATAGACTGTGGCTTTGTTTGATATAGGCTTTGTATGAAGACATTGAGAGGTTGTGGGATTCCCATTTTCCTAAGGACATTCCACAGCTTGACATAGTTGATGTCAACTCAGTGAAGCACATACTGACTTCTTGTTAGTATTCTTTGACTTTCTCAATTATCCATAAATAAGTTACCTTGTTTCTTGGTCTTTTCTATGTATGGTTCACATCGTCAAATGTGGTTGTAATCATGCTTCTTAAGAGCTGTTTGAAATTCTTTCTTCCTGAGATCTTGTTTTTCTTGGCTTTGGCTTCTTTTCTCTTATCTCAGTTCTACCATTTGTTCCAACATTCAGGTTACTTTCTTTGTCTGTCTCTGGAAGGCTCTTTCCACATTCATCCATAGCAAATTATTTGATTTCTTTCCACAGTTCCTCTAGTTCCTTATCATTGAGGTTCAAGGCTTCAAAGCAATTGCTGGTGTTCTCCTTGAAAATGGTTGGTATGTGCTCAGTATTATATTGTGGAAACTGGCTGGCTTTGTTGTTCCATTTTAGCTTGACTTGGAATTTTGCACTTGAGCTGTTCATGATCTGTTTCACAGTCAGCCCTGGCCATGTCTTTGCTATTATAACTTAGCTCTTCCACCTCCTTGCACCATTTGATTTCTGTGTGTTCCATCTGGTGATATCCATATAAATAAATGTCGTGTTGGTTGTTTAAAGACTGTCTTAGCAATGAAGAAATCATTGAATTGGTAGTAGCTGATAATTTGCTCTCCTGCTTCATGTCTGTTTCCTAGGCCATACAATCCAAGTACATTTTCCTCATTGTTTTCAGCTTTGGCATTCCAGTCTCCAACTACAAACAGCATATCTTGCTTGCATATTCTGTCAATTTCAGATTGAACTTGACCATAAAACCTGTCAAGCTCCTCTTCTACTAATCAGTGGTTGAAGGATAAATGTGGATAACCATCATATTGGAGATCTGTCCATGAAGTTTAATATTATTTGGCCATTGTCTACATTCTTCCCTAATACTGTCTTTGCTATATTCTTTCTAACTATGAAAACAACACCATTTGTTCTTTTTTTTTTGTATTCTGAGTAAAGATCTTCTGACTGAAAGTGTCCAATTCCAGTCCATTTCAATTTGCTGATGTCTAAAATGTCAGTGTATAGTTGATTCATTTAATCTTTCACTGGATTGAGCTTTCCCACATTCATGCTGCTTACATTTCAAGTTCACACTGTAATTCTGTCTTTGCATTTATGCAATTTTTCCTTCATGGTGGCACCAGCAACTAAACATTCCAAAGGCTTTAATATAGCCACATCACAAACACCATTGGTACTCTGAAAAATCCTCAGTTCTTCCTCAGTAGCATGTTGACTGCAATCTGACCTAAGGGGCCCATCATCTGGCACTATATTGTCAATCACTTTATATTGTCTGTCTTTGTGGTTTTCTTGGTAAAATACAGGAGTGATTTACCATTGTCTTCATCAGCATGCTATGAAATCATGCCTTGTTACTTGAGTGATCCTCCACCTCCATATTTTCCAATATTGCTGCTGCCTGATATAGATCCCTGCTTGCTTTAGCTGAGCAGCTGGGATGACCTTCATGCCTTGAGTGACCCTGATGGGAATATATGCTCTTGAGATACATTCCTAGCATTCTTCACACATTTCTCCCAGGAACACACCCTTTGCCGCAGTGAGGCACCATAGCAGCACCTTGGTGCTTGGGTGTGTTAAAAAGATACACAAAAGAGAAAGTAGATGTATAGATAGAATCTCAGAATCAGTTTAATATGCCATGAACTTCAATTTATTATTGTTGATTAAGCAAATGTTTTGCAAATAGAAGGATCCAGATTCAGGTCCTGGATGTTTCAGTTTTAAAAAGAGAGTCCTTGGGAACTAGCTAGATTACCCTGGGCCAGATGCTGAGTGGGTAGAAGGCTTCCTAAGCAATAGATGCTAGTGTTGAAGTAGAGGCATCTGTGCAACTTGGTTTTTCAAATTAGACTTCTGAAATCAGTGTGCTGTTGTGTTTTTAATAAATGATCCTGTGGTTCTGCTTAATCCTGCTCTGGAAATAAAGGTCATCCAATTACTCCAGGCAACAGTGAAGCTCCAGACCGCCTGCCAGGTGGGGAGAATGGTGCAGATATAGTCTGCAATCATCAGTTGCTAACTAGAGACTCTGGAGACCGAAATACCATCTTTTAATAATGGAAAGTTTAGGAAAGCCTCTGATCAGAAAATGTCTCTTTTCTCTTGTGTTCAAATCCAGCAAATGCACGGAGAGAGTTCTGCCTGAATGTTGCTTTAATTAATCTCACTTTATGGTCTCTATCAGCTTGCCAACTAGATTTTTTTCCTTATTTTTTTCTGCTTAAAAAGCTCTTTAGAAAATTCAGATGTATGGTTATTAGTATAGTCCGAATTGACGTCATTCTAATATTTTCTTTTTAAGTATTAGGATGCATAGCTTCTTCTGGGCCAAAACCCCCACATGGGGTACATTGCAGGTTGCATTCCAAAATATATTGATTTCAAGAATTAAATTAAAATATGATAAAATATATTTTATGCCATTAGAATTAAATACAATATCAATCTCTAGCCATGCATTTATTATTTGCCTTTCTGTCACATTAAAAATTAGAATTTGTTAATAACTTTTGAAGGTCTCTGGGGGCTACACAGAAGAGTTTTGGGTATTGTGTGCTGCTTTGAAATATTAAAATACCCTGCTGTGGTGTAGATGCAGGAACTGGCTTGATGTCTCTAATAACCCAGTGTCCTTAACCTGATGTCATCCAAAAGCTGGCTGGGGAATTCTTGGCATTGTTATTCTAGCATATCTAGAAAGCACCAAGTTGGAAAAGCCTTGTGTTGATTGTTAGATTCTGCACAAGGTAGAATTAGTCTGTATTTGCTGTTGCAAAATATGATTTGCCTCTAACAGATACACATTTAGAGAAGAGTAGTTTATGAATGGCTGTTAGCTACATGAAATGCAAAATCTCCATGTCCACATTCAATATACCTCTGAATATTACTTGAAGAGAGATAAAAACGACACAGAGTATTTTCCTCATGCACTTCTTATGGTCCTCTAGTTGGCCCCTATGGGAAATAATATGCTGAACGAGATAGGCTTTTGGTTTGATCCTGCAGAGCTCTTATTAAATTATGTTCTAAGGGATCCAGATAGTAAGCTTTTGTAGAAGAACATAAAAGTAGATTAATCAGAACAAACATTTGAGCATACCTGAACCCATGTAAACCAGCCCCCTTTGCAAAAGTCTTAGCAATAAGTGGGCACACCTGAAATTGAATATTGCCATCACTTTTATTTCTCTTTTTAAAATTCACACTGCATTTCTCCCTTCATTACCACCTTTTCTGTCCAACATCACCCTTAT